ACGAACGAAGATACACATTGTGGTGAAAACTTAATTACTACTGGGCAGGTAATCTCAGAATGCTGTGTGAAGCTTTCTGAGATTAAGCAGGCTTCCTATGTTTTTATGCATGATAATGCATAACGCAGCTAAGTTGAAATTTGAAAATATAATTGGCACGCAAGGATCCCTGGTCTTAATACAATTTAGAAAGGACATGGGACATTCTTAAATTGTGTATGTTATGAGGTATATGAGATACTTTCCTTTGATATTTACCATACTTTATTGTTATTGGGTATGATGGTGGTGATGCAATACTATATTTATGGTATCGGCTTCTTCTTCTCACAAAAGTAAAACTATAAATTCTGGTGATTTTGTTATCACTAAACTTCCATATACAGTTTTACCATTTGGTATGAAGGATTAATTAGCAAAAAAAATTTGTAATCGGCAATTAAAAGCAGTATCCAGTATCCACGCCTTAAGAGTAAACTGAACCCAGTGTTGCCAGATGAAAATTTTCTGGAAGAGTAGATGGGAGAAAAAAAAAAGATTATCGAAACTGAACAGTAGCTTTTATTGCAGCGGGAAATAATTAAAAAAAAATTATCTAAGAAGCGAAAAATAAACATTTTTGCGATAACACCAAAATAAAAAAAGACCAAAACAACATTATTACTAGATTGTAAGTTTAACCAAATTCTATTTTTATAAGTCTGCCTGCCCTTTTTTGATATAAACTTTTAATGATAATGAATATTATTGATTTTAAAACAAAAAAAGGTTTATTTTTATTTTCGCAACTGGTGACAATAAATTTTTGAAACCAGTTCTACAATGTTAAACATTATGCAACTGATTGCATAAAGTAGATCATTTTGACACCTACTGCGATTACTAAAAATGTCACTTTATATGTCGAAATTAGAAACAAAATATTTTTAATCGAAACTACCTAATTGGTTTGTTTCAGAAATAACCGTATCCTCTTAAAACAGTTCTGTAAGAAGCTTAACATCTCGCTTAATATTATTTCTTAGTGAATGTGAGACATAACTAAAATTCTTACGAATCTGGTTCTACCCTCCATCGCGGTATACTAAAAATGCATTTGCAACCTCTCTCAACCTGATTTATGGGGTTGGGTCAGTGGTGAAATTTGATATTCTTTAGGGAACATGTGTAGAAAGCTGGGAACAGGAATTATGGAATTATGGTTATGTGAAAGCTAGGGGATCTTTGTTTGTTTTATACAGGTTGATTTAAGTAAAGAAATTCTATCGTGAATATGAGGGTAGCTAATTTCGGATAAAACAGTTTCACAGAATTTATATAATAGAAATTTAAACATAATCAATGCACACATCTAAATGACAACATTTTTTTTAATTATTATCTAGATATACAGGGTGTTTCAGAATAAAATACCGTAAATAGGGGGACTTGTAGATCTTAATTAATTAATAAGAAAAGCTAAATCTAATTTTCCTGTGAACGCCACAGTTTTCATTCTACAGGGTGATAAAGTGAATTTCATAAATACATAATTTTCTAAGTATCTTCCCTTACAAAAGAGATTTTAAACTATAAATATGTTTATGTTAGTTAATCGTCACTATTAGTTAACACTTTCTTTCGATAAATTACGATAACCCATTGGCGTAGAATCAAGGTTTAAGAAAACAATTTTAATCCAAACTTTTTGAACACCCTATATTTCTTAAAAGTTAAGATTGATAATTACTCCTCATACAATTTGTCACAAAAAAAGGGACTCTTAAAGGATCTCTGTAGAACATTCCATTTCCGAGATTTTTCAGCTTTAGTCCTACTCAAACATGAAATCTAGTACAATTTTATCAATGGCCGATTTTATTTTGGAATATTAAAAGGTCCATTAACTAATGGGACTAATATCTTAAGGACTTAATGGTCCCATTAGTTAATGGGACTTTTAATATTGACTATGAAATCTGTTCTTAACAAACATTTGCATATTTGGAGTTTCATAATGTATATAGTTTTCATGTTTGAGTAGAACTAAAACTCGGAACTCAAATGTTCTACAAAGATCAACTAAGAGTCCCCACTTTGTTTCAAATTGCCTGAGGAATAAATGATAATCTTAACTTTTATGAAATATAGGGTGATCAAAAAGTTTGGATTAAAATCGTTTTCTTAGCCCTTTATTCTACCAATGGGTTATCGTAATTTATTGAAATAGGGTGTCAACTAATAATGACGATTAACTAACTCATACTTATTTTTAAGTCAAAGTGTTTACCTTAAGGATAAATATTTATAAAATTAAATATTTATGAAATTCACTTTACCACCCTGTAGAATAAAAACTGAAACTTTTACAGGAAAATTATATTTAGCTTTTATTAATAATTAGTTACTCTTCAAGTCCCCCAGATTACGTTACTTTATTCTGAAATATATAATATTCTGAAATATATATAGATCTTAAATTATACCACGTATCCTGGAATTAAAAATAAGTCAGTTATATTAAAGGTAACCAATACCTATACAGGGTATCCCAACTTTATTAGCCAGTTATAATAATTGTCGGAATGAAATTGAATTTAGGTGGGAGCTATAGTGATATGTGGACTATTTGAAGAGCGTATTTTCGAATATCAAGAACTTTCAGTGATACCGGAAGTGAATGTGAATAATTTCAAGTAGAACCACATATATTATATCTTTTAACATTTCTGAATTAAATTCTTTTTATGAAATATGTCCTATATCTTTTTCGTTTCTGATAAATTGGAGGTTACACTTAATATGTGACAATCAACAAACCATACTATCTACAATTTATTTTCAGACAAGAAACATAAGTTAGCGTAACCTCCAATTTATCAGAATCGGTTAGAGATATGCATAAGACAAATATTACATAAAAAGTGTGTACAATAATTCATCATTATTATATAAAAATTACCACAAAAAAGTTATAGCCGTTGTATTAGAAAAATGAGGCCATTTTAAACATTGAATAATTATTTATCGGTTAACAAAACAATTATTATAAACCAAATTACACAAATTAATAATTTATTAATTTTATTGACCTTTATGTGTATCCGAATTTAAAATACTGTGGAGCTATACCGGGTATTAATCCAACAATATATTAATGTGGGTACTGAATATTGACTGTTTACTATTTTTTATATTAAAGTAATTTAGTTTTCCCCGTCACTGAGGTATAGAATTATTGGTTAATCCCTTAGGTTTGCTCATTTATATTTTATGATGTATTATATTCGAGGTTTTTCGGGATGGTCATACTAAAATCTAATGAAAATTTAAATAAGAAGGTATCAATATTTACTTTTTTCTGCTTTGAACAATTATGTATATACACCTTTGTCATAAAAACTGTGCTATAATGCATTTTCAAAAAACTATACCTTCCACGCTAGGGGGTATGATGTTAAAGACCAATGGTAGGAACTGTTTATTTCTAGATTGCCAAATTAAATTATGTCAGCACTGTAAAGTTGTAACGTCAAGATAATGGCGTCGTTGATATCCAAACCACTTACATCGGTATTATATTTTTGTGGTAGATATTTTTGAGGCTATTAACCTAATTCATAGATAATATTGACCAAAATATGAAGAACAAGTGTAATTTGGAGTAGTTAAAAGTAAAATACCTTAAAAAATTTGCACGTACCTATAAAGATTTATAAACAGTCAATTTTCAATAAAGGACGAACTCATTCATTTTAACCCACTTCATGAAGTATTAGTAGTTCCTTCACTGTCACTTTCGTTCTCCCCTAGCCTATAACAAATGCATCAACGTTTCTAAAAGCCGCATGCATTTCAAAAAAGCAGGTCGATCGTTTGCCAGTCCATGTTCACCCACACATGTGGTCTGTTCGTTCGTTTCGTTTTTCGTTTGCCATTAAGTCCAGCAGTCGAGTGCCTAATCTTTGAGTTAAAACAGATGTGGCACTTCGCATAAAACAAAGCCTTCCTTTCTTGTATTTGCCCAAGCCAGAAAACCACTTGAAGATTTCTTCCTCTCTCTTTCTCTAAAGCCGCGTCCGCACTTAACACTTATAAGCGTTTTTCGTTGAGAAACTAGATAAAAGATTGCGAAATTTGAATTTACATAAACAAGAACTGGCATTTTTAATTAGATAGGTAAATATGCTAATTCAATTCAATTATTGTCTATTTATATAGTATTTCTGACCAACTAATTTTGATAAAATTCGTTTCTGATATTTAATATGAAAGCTATCAATCCAAACGGTTGGATTTTAAATGATTCCTGTCGAACAATGTGAAACGGTACTAGGAAAATCCTTAAGAAAAATATTAAAAAGAGTAAGGTCGAAAATGTTATCCCTTTTTGGGTTGTAAACAGTAAGAAACTAAACCAGCTTCAATTTAGTTTAGTAAGGAAGAAACATATAAAATAATGAATTAATAGAAAGAAGATTGTCTGGAAGGACTTCAAAAATAGGTACATTTGATATTTTCTAAAAAGAGGTCATCAGATTCAAAACGAAAAATGAATATTTTATATGTAAGCTGTCGTCTGAGATAGTTACAATTAAATTAAACTTCCTTCAGGGGCGTGCGGTCCATGGAAGCGGGAAAAGGGCCGCTTCCCTATACTTTGAGATTTAAAAATAAATATTTATAAATTAATATTAAATTAGGTACTATATTTTCTCTGAAACATTACGTAAACTTCGTAAATATACTAACAATTCATTGGTGTAATGTGTAAACGCACGCACCACCCATGAAAAAATTAATTGTGTAAACGCACACACCATCCTACATCGAGTCCGTCGGCGGAAGCGCGTCTTAAAAAAGCCGGCTCAACTTCCAATTTATTTCGCTTCGTGTTATTGACGATTTTTACGTCACCTTACGCATATTGCAATTCGCACTGCAATCCGCACCGCGAATCGACGTGTAAGGAAATTCGTAGATTTCGGTTTGTTTTTCGTAGTTGTTTTTCTTTTTGTAAAATGGAGGAACTATGCACTGTGCCTGTGAACAATAATAATGTGGTAAATTGTGTCTGTATTGTGTGCTCTTTATTGAAAAAAGGATTTTCAAGTAGAAATTTTGAAGAGAAAACGGACATTATTAATTCTAGTAGACTAAAGGATCCTATCAATTTAGAGACGAAAGTAGAAAAGTCAGCAAAGAAATTTAGCTGGCATTTTCACATTGGAATTCAGTCGGTATTAAAGACGTTAATAATTTTCACAAAAGTGTAAAACGACATGTAAATAGCAAATCTCATATAAGTGCTACAATTAAAGAAAAGACATTTGGGACCTATCGCATTGAACATAGTTTGGACAATCATATAAAAATAAGCAACAAAATTGACAATGAAAGGGTAAAAAAAGATAGGGACGTCTTACAGCGATTAATAGATGTAACTTATTTTCTGGGAGAGCATGTACTAAGTTTTAGGGGTCACAATGAAGCAAGTGGATCCGCCAATCAAGGAAATTACATGGACGTTCTAAGTTTTTTAGCAAAATACGATGATACCCTAAAAAATCATTTTATTGATTTGACGAATTTCCGAGGTACCTCAAACAGAATCCAAAATGATTTAATTAAATGCACTGTCGACGTTGTGATGGATCACATTAAAAGTGAAATAAAAAAATCACCTTTCGTATCAATTGCGCTTGATGAAACCACAGATGTAGCAAACTTAAGTCAATTATCCATTGTTGTGCGATATGTATTGGATGGCATTCCTTAAGAGCGATGCGATTCTTAGGATAATATTTTACAACAAATGAAATCTCGATTTCAAAACTTTAAAGAATTAAAATTTGTTGAATTGTGCAATTTTAATATTAGTAACTACGATTCATCAAAATTTCCATCGGAAGCTTTTAATTCACTAAAAATAAATTATAGAAATTTTTTCGATATTCCAGCTTTAAAGTACCAGTTAAGTGTTGTTTATGAAATAACTGAAATTAGTGATAAAAAGACGCCCATCAATATGTTAAATTTTTTTATAACAACTAGTTTAAATAAGTCCTTTTGTGGAGTCGTCAAGTTGTGTGAGTTAGTACTAACCATCTCAGCCAAGTGCGTCAGTTGAGCGAAGTTTTCAGCTTTAAAGCGCATTAAAAGTTTTATACGAAATTCAACAAGTGATGAAAGACTCTCTAATTTAGTCCTAATATCCATTGAAAAACAGCTTGTTAAACAGTTATCAGAAAATCCAAAATTTTACGTCGATGTTATATACAAATTTGCAGCCACTGAGGATAGGCGAATAGATCTTAAATATAAATAAATGTTAACTGCTGTATCAACTAAGCAAAAAATGCTGGAAAAAATAAAAACAAAACTTCACTTTATTTTTTTTTGCGTTTAAATAAACCAAGGAAGCTTTTCAATGGTAAGTTTTTTTATAGCTGCTAGTACTAAACTAGGTAATAAAGTAATAGGAACACTTCAAAAATCTCAATCTCGAATATCCGTAGTACTGAGGAAAAAAAAGCAAGATTTTGACAAAATGGTGAATGCGCCGCGAAAAATTTTCGCCTGCGACGCTGTGCTTACTGGCCTGCTGTATTTTTATACAATCGCTTCCCCTTCCAAATATGTCACCGCACGCCACTGACTTCCTTTAATGAGTAGAACCGATAAAATCATAATAGGTACACATTTTCAGAATTGGACAGGTTGGACCCCTCTGGGATATAGTTAATGGAATAATAGTTTAATGCAATAAGACAATCTACAATTTTATAATGAATGTAGTGTTGTTTTATGTATGTTATCAAAAGTCAAGAGAAAATGGTACTTTTTCCGTAGTGAATAAAAATTTACTTTTAATTCCTAAGGATCGTAATTTTAGTCCCTAGGGATTAAAAGGACAATATACAACCGAAAATATAGTACAAAGTATAACTATAACAACCTTGCACTGCCATCGTCATTGCTTTATTATTAAGTACTGTCAAGTGGTTTTTCCTTGCATATTTTTTAGTTTATGTTTTCTCAAAGTGCTTAAAATAGCGTATAAAAAACAGGACTGAAGTACTTTTTTATCCCTTGACGAATTGTAGCCTGACGAAGGTATAAAAAGTGCTACTTCAATTCCTTGGTGTATAATATGATATACTAATTTTTTATTATTTTTATTTTATGCTTTAATAATTATATTACTACTAGTTACCCAAAACATATACAGTACTGGCAAGATGAAACCTTCGGTCTTGCCTTGCTTGTGTTGGAGTGAATAGTAAATACCGCTAGCATGCAGGAAAATAAACGACACTGTAACAATAATTGATAGGTCTGTTCGGGTTCTTCTAAAATACATTGAGAACTATCAGAGGACTAGTTGACCAGTGGATAGTTTAATAGTTGTGTGACGAATAATTTGGAATTGAATTGTTCCACTGGTTCTCGGATGGTTTGCATCGAGTTTTAAAGAAACCCAAACAAACCTACTGTCGCCATTCACAGTTCGAGTATCCGATCGGTAGCGCGATATCAACATGTAACTTGCAACATCGATACCACATCCTTTCCTATCTTGCACATGCGTATGCCATTTACTCAGTACTATTTTTTTGCTTTGGATTGTATGAATTTATTTACTCAGTACAACACAAACAAAACAGAACAGAAAATGGCCGCTCTAAAATTATAAATAAATTTAAGTCTAAAAATAATAATCAACAACAGATTATAAGTGTGGTAGCCGCTAAATGAGTGTCTTTCTCATTTTGTACGAACGGTTCGTCCACAAAAATTTAGAATAGTCGCATTAACAGATGATGCAAACTACTTGAAAGCCTGCATTGTATGTTGAATAAAACGATTACATTACCGAGAAACTGAGTTTGATTCAACTTTATTAAAGAGCGCGAAAAAAATACGTTTCGATCCAATCATAAAGCGGTAGCTAATCACCGAAAATAATAATGCAAGATGAGAATAATAGAGCCAAATGTAAACTAAACAACCCGTCGCTCATTTACGGCATGCGATAAATCACGAATAAAAGAAAACAAAAAACTTTGGGAAACGAGAATAATAAAAAAGCCACTTAATGCATTCTAACAAGAATGGAGATAGAACATTTTTCTTCTGTAATCTTTGTAATTAAGAAAAAGAATAAATCCGGTTTTCGATTGTTTGGAGTGACCCAACCGATAGTATTTTATAATGAGACTGCAACAGGTCTTACAGATTGTCCCAGTAATGGGTCTATTATAGATTGGTGTAATTTATATAGGGATAAGAAAAGTATATCTAATAAAACTGATTTTAAAACTGTCATGCCGAGCGCTACGTACCAGCATTTCTTTCAGATAATTCTCCGCTTTGTCAAAGGCAATATAGTAAATAAAGATATTTGACCAATTTTTTGATGAAAATACAGCTAGTTTCAGTCAATTCTGGTCATCATCAGGCAAATATATTCGACAATAAAAAATTATACATTTGATGATTCTATAAGAAAGATAAAAGTAATTAGTGTTGTAACAAATAAATTAAAAACAATCGGACGGAAACAATACTATCACGAACATAAGATTATTTCCAGGTAGCAGGATCGAGAAGTTAAAAAAAGTTAATCGACAATGGGTGATTACTGGATTAATTGGGAAACTCCATAATAGAAAACAAGAGAAAATGACTTTGTTGCCAAAAGCTAGTTCGGGATAGCAATTTAATTTGAAAACAGCTACCCAAATTTGGGATTTCAAAACCTCATCAAATTGGACATTTTATCTATTTAACCAAATGTATGTCATCAATGGTTTACGGGATTGCACAGATGACAAAAATGTTGTTCTATGATTTACCATATTGAAATATATACCTGTGTATAATATATACAGGGTGGTCAAATGACAGAGCCATTTTTAGGCACGTCGGACCAATCAAATTTTCATTAAATCTTTCTATTATATCATCACATGTCATAAGACATTTCCCTTCTCTTCGTGTATTTAACCAATACAATTTAAATAAGGAAAGTACCAGATTGGATACATTAATGGAGAATCGAGCAGTAGACTTATTCATTGCATTGATATTGATTTCAGCGTCCTCTAGCGGGATGAAAACTTTTGCGTAAAAACTGTAACACTTAATTTGAAAAATACCTTTATTAGTAATTTATTCGTCAGCATAAATTTGTTATTTTGATTGATTGCGATTAAAGTTTATATTAATTTTTAGAGCTCTACAAGATTTTTTAATTATCACAGTAGTTCATGTTTAATTCAATTATGCTTTGTTATATTGTTAATAAAATTAGCTTTCAAATAAAGTGTCACATTTTACAACACGTAACAGTTTTTATCCCACTTGAGGGCGCTAAAATCAAAAGGAGCAGAATGAATATTGCTGAATTCTCCATAAAATTTCCTTTTTAATGATGTGACATACTTGGTACTTTTACCATTTAAATTGTATTGGTTAAACTGATGAAGGAGGACATAATGATGTATGATAGTTAAATTGATGGGTCCAAAATATTGTCGCAGTTCCTGCGATAATGGCTCTGGTACGTTTTCGTCTGTTCACCCTGTATATATATATATATATGGTTAATGGTACATGATCCAAATTATTTAATATAATTGTTTTCTCTTAAGTTGCCTTTGAATCGTTTAAATGTCGAAAGTATTTCTTGGTAAAGATTCATGGTACTTATTGGTAATGTGTTTATTCATTGACAATGAGTCTTATTTTCACTACCAGTGTATTCTTATTGTGTTTTTTCTACTACTGCTTTACAGTTTAAACTTTGAATGATAGAATACGGGTACTGATTCTCTATACGAGTACAAAATCAAATTCAGTACAATTCAGATTCTTGTAACAAATTATATTTTATGTTTTTTACATATTTTGTGGCATAATTTCCATATCGTACCTATATGTATGTCCTGAGGTTAATAAGGTTAATTAGGTTTTAGAATGTTTGTTGTGGAGTCTGTTTTGTATTTTTGTCCTGTTGTTTTCTGTACTATCCTTAACCAACATTTTCCTGTCTTAATTATATTACTTAATTCTAGTTAGTACCAAAAAGTAGCAATGATATTGATTTTTGAGCTTCTCTACCATAATTGATATAATGTTTACCAAGGGGATTAACTTCACCCGTCATAAAATTTCGTCTACCAAACTGTAGGTATCTACTCGTATTTACAAATTTGAAGGAAATACAAAAAATAACTCTACAGTGTGTTCTTTGAATATTTTAGAGATACAAAATGGAATAAAATGGATTTTTATTATTAAATTATGAAGTGATTTTATGACCGCAGAAATAGAAAAATTACATAACTTTTTGTATAATAAATAATTGAATACTATAGTTACAAAGCTTAGACAATGTGCAAAATTTATATTCAAATACTTCAACATTTTTGTACAAGCCATTTGTTATTACTCCTAACGTCGTCTCTGGACTTTCTAAATTCAACCGAAAATGATTACGTCACCCTTTCTCACTGCAAAAGATCTAGCCAATCTTATGTGAGTCCCGACTCGCCGATGATTGATCAAAACTAAAGAACGGGGATGATGACGCAAGCTGACGGGAGTCTCAAATCATTTGGCTTCACGTTAATATTTCTCACCTCACCGAAGCAACATTTTTCTGAAACGGTTTTTTCCCCGGGGATCACCTGACTTAGTGTCCGACAACACTGAAGCTTAATAGCCTATTGTATTTGACCCATAATATTTCATTGTACCCACTCTGCCATCTTAGTCCCTTGTACAAGTTTGTCCTTGACAGGGTGTGTTTTATAGGTTCTTCGATCAATCTGTGGTTGTTCAAAAAGTGTTTGTCTTCTGCGATCCAATCCCTCGCAGTTACACAGTATGTGTTTGGCTGTTTCTGACATAATAGGTCTTCGTAATACACGTCTATTTTGTTCAGGTGTCCATAACTGGGGCGGGCATGCCCAGTCATGGGTCCTGTTATTGTTTTTAACTGGTTTCTATTCATGGAGAGTAGTTCTCCTGTTCTTTTTGGACATGGTCTTCCTTCTTCCTATAAAGGTCTTCCCAAGTGCTTGTTTCGGGATATTCTCCCAATAATTGTTGTCAGTCATTTATGAAACCTAGAACTGTACGTTCTGGTACTCCAAGATTTATATCTGGTCCGGTATTTCTTCTGACCCTCTCTTTGCGAGTTCATCAGTCTTTTCATTGTACTCTATCCCTTGATGACCTGGCACCCAAACTAGTTTTACTCTATTTTGGTCTGCCAGTATTCTCAGTTCTGCGTTGTAATGTCATACCAGCCTCGACGTCACTTTCTGACTTGATATGGTGTCATTTAACTTTATAAGCCTAGTCTGCTAGTTTTATTATTGAGGTATGTTGAAAAAATTGACTTGAAGGAGCCAACTTCAATGGGTTCTAGCTCCCCTA